CCTCTTTCCCACAGCCCCTGCAGCCTAATATACTTTTTTTCTCTGCCACTGAGACATACACCCATCCCTCATCTACCTTTTCTCTGAATTTATACTGGACATTCATGTAAATGGAATCATAGAGTACAATGGCATCAGACAAAGATCTTTTCTATCTGGCTCCTTTCACTTTAGTATAATTTTTTGAGGGTCATTCTTGTTATAGAATGGATTGTTACAGTTCATTTTGTAACTCAATACTTTGCCATACTCATTAGCTACTGTTTAGTTATCATCAGCTAATGGATTATTTCTACCTTTTCACATATGAATAGTATTGTTCTAGACATTCATGTACAGGTTGTATGAGCAGCCTTTTTTCTGGTTAACTGGAGATGAGTCTCATCCAACATCTATTCTCAGATTGCAGCCTCCTGAATGAATAGCTAGGATTATAAGCATGAGCCACTAGCACTGGGGCCACAGTTAGGGTTTTTGTTTTTATTTTTGTTTACTTAAGGGTTTATTTGGTCATTTACCTTGAGCTCAAGGCCTGGGCACCCTCCCTGAGCTTTTTTGTTCAAAGCTAGCACTCTACCACTTTGAGTCACAACTCTGCTTCTGGTTTTTGGGTGGTTAATTAAAGGTCTCACAGACATTCCTGCCCAGGCTGGCTTAGTACTGTGATCCTCAGATCTCAGCCTCCCAAGTAGCTAGGTTTATACATGTGGGCCACTACTGCCTGGATCGCTGTTATTTTGGTCTTCAAGATTGTTCTAGATAATTACCATATGGAATAAATGGCAATAAGTAATGTAGAAATTTCCATTGTATTACATGCCAGTCATACAACCCTACAAGTTAGTAATATCACCTCCATCTTTTTTTCTTTTTTTTTGGTCATAGAGCTTTAACTCTTGGCCTGGCTGCTATCCCTGAGCTCTTCACCTCAAGGCAAGTGCTCTACTTTGAGCCACAGTGCCACTTCCAGTTTTCTGGTGGTTTATTGGAGATGAGAATCTCATGAACTTTCCTTGCCTGGGCTGGCTTTGAACTATGATCCTCAGCTCTCAATCTCCTGAGTAGCTAGGATTATAGGCATGAACCACTGGTGCTCAGCATCACCCTCATCTTACAGAAGAGGAGACTGAGGCCCAAAGAAGTTATTTACTTGGCCCAAAGTGACTCAGATAAAAGTGACAAGATCAAGGTTTGAATCCAAGTCCCTTTGACTCTGAAGACTACGCTCTAGCCAGAGTGAGAAATAAAAAATCATGAAGCCCATACTTCCTGTTAAAGGTTTTTGTTTTGTTTTGTTTTTTGTTTTATAGTGGTCTTAGTATAGGAGAACCAGGCCTGCCTATGGAAATCAGCAAATCAGTCTTTTATAATTTAATAATATGCTGATGTCTTACCTACTTGATTTTTGTTTTGAATATTTGGCAATGTGTAGAATATTCATTTTTAAGTAATCTCTATGTGTATCTTTGCAGCTCATTTTCCAAACTTATACTTCCTGCTCTGCTTCCCACTGATGGACATCATGTTTCAGCATTATAGAGTCAGGAGCATTAGGAAAGGCTTCAGAAGTTGGTTCTGGCATTAATGCAGTTTGCTTTTTGTCTTAGCCTGTTTTGAGCTGCTGTAACAGAATATTTGGGCCTGGATAATTTATCAAGGACATTTATTGGTTTTATCTCTAGGAGCTGAGAGATTTAAAGGCTAAGGGCCCAGATCTGGTGAGGGTCAGGTGTGGTGAGGACAAAGACCAAAAGATAGGTTTGGAGGTAAAAGGTTTGAACCCATCCTTTTCAGCAAGCCACTGCCCACTCCCACCATGATGGCATCAGTCCATTTATGAGGGCAGAGTCCTCATGACTAATCACTTTATAAAAGTCCCATCTCTCAACACTGTGGTAACTAAGGATTGACTTTTAGCTCATGAACTTTGAGGAACACATAACACTGAGATTGTGGAGTTAGGGAAGCCTCTAGTTTTCTGTATAGTACTCTTGAGATTTGTTGTATTTCTGATGCCAGTAAATAGCATGTTTAAATTATCTGTTTAAAATAATTACAAATTATTCATATACTGCTGGTAGAAATGCAAAATGCTGAAGTTGTTGTGAAAAAAACACCTGGCAGTTCTCAAGAAGATAAACATAGTTATCATATGACCCACATGTTGTACCCATATTCCATTTTGGGAGAAGTAACACATTCACACAAAAGTTTATATGTCAGCATTACTTGTAACAGTCCCAAAATAAGAACAACTAAGATATGGATGAATGGATAATTAAAATCTGGCACATTTATATAATGGAATATTAGTTGACAATGAAAAGGAATGATTCATACTTTGATATGAATGAACCTTAAAATGTGGTAAATGAAAGAAGGCAGAAACAAAAGGCTATATATAATATGATTCCATTTATATAAAATATACTGAATAGGCTGATCTTTTTTTTTTTTTTTTTTGGTCCGGTTGTGGGGCCTGAACTCTGGGCCTGGGCACTGTCCCTCAGCCCTTCAGCTCAAGACTAGCACTCTACCACTTGAGCAACAGCACCACTTCCGGCTTTTTTTCTTTTTGCTTATGTGGTGCTGAGGAAGCAAACCCATGCAAGGCAAACACTTTACCACTGAACTACCTTCCCAGCCCTAGGCTGATCTTATAAATATCAAAAGTAGTGGTTACTAAAGGACAGAGAATTGGAATGGGATATTACATAATGGATATCAGGTTTCTTTTTTGAGGAGATGAATATGTTTTAGAATTACATAGTTGTGATCATTGAATGACCTTATAAAATATACTTACAGTAATTGAGTTATACACTTTTAAAATTAACTTAAGATCTGGAGGCATAGCTCATATGGTAGAGTGCCTGCCTAGCAATCACAGGTATCTGAATTCAAGCTCCAGTATCAGGGAAAGAAAGAAGGGAGGAAGGAAGGAAGGAAGGAAGGAAGGAAGGAAGGAAGGAAGGAAGGAAGGAAGGAAGGAAGAAAAGATGGAGAAAGTAGAGAAGAAAAGGAAGAAAGAAGAGAGAAAAGAAAGAAAGAAAATAAGGTGGGGCATGGCCTATACTTATCCACTTTGGTGGTAGAGATTGGAAGAATCTCAACTTAAGATCTGCCCAGGTAAAAAGTTAACCAGACCCTTATTTCAACCAATAAATCTGTGTGATATGTGCCTTTCATCTCAGCTACATAAGGGCCATAAATAAGAGGAATAGGTTTCAAGACTGTTCTGGGCAAAAACTGTAGCCGTCCTTGAAAAATAACTGATGCAGAAAGGATTGGGAGCATGTCTCAAGAGGTAGAACACTTGTCCATCAAGATCTAGACTCTAGTTCAAACCCCAGTATGAACAACAACAACAAAAATACTGCCAAAAAATGTGTTTAACTTAAAAATTCAGTACAGTAGTTTTTCATAGAGCTCTTGGGCATATGAAGGATGGATGGCGGGATTTAGATGGAAATGGAGTCAGAGATTGAGGTGAAAGGGAGAATGAATGCTGGAAGATATTGAGGAGTGAGGCAGGCAAAAGGGAAGGAAAGCAGTTCAGGTTGTCAGTGGCACAATGCAGGCCCTAGGTGAGGAGCATGATCAACTGGAATATGGAGGGCTTTCCTGCATGGGCTCCAGGGGCCTTTGTACTTTCCAGTTTTCACTTCTCCAACTAATGGCTTGGTGCTAGCTTTCCTGGATTTGAAGGCATCATCCTTGCTAATAGTTACTATTTATTTGCCTTTTTTCCCTCATGATTTACTAGTATTACCTATATATCACATAAAACTTAAATTATTTTATTTGCTCCTCTGGACAACACAATCAGAGCCAGTATCTATCTCCACATTTTCTCAGACAAAGAAACCAAGACTCAGAAGTTGTTACTTAGCCAACCAGCAGGTAATGGATTCAACTCCACAACCAAGGCCCTTAGAACCTTTCTCAAATCCCCATGGCCCCTGCACTTGCAGGCAGTAAAATTAAGCTGTGGAACCAGTTGATCTTGACATTTCCAGCTAAGCAATTACAGACTTCTTAATTTCATGGTTTCCAGGGCTCATTTCAAATCCTTCACCTCTTATTCATGTAGACTAACTGTCACATAGGCAAGATTCTCAAGCAAGAAGGCAATTGTGAGCTACCTTGGGCTAAAAGAGTTGCTTTTTAAATGTCTACTTTACAGGCTATTAAGGAGCCTGTAAGTACTCTTCCTGCAGAATAGATATTTAAAATATACCCTAGAGCTACCCCTACTTTAGAATAGTTAGAATTGGAAGACAAGTTAAAGAGGATAGAGGAAGAGTGCATCTAAGTAGAATTGAGCCATCATACAATACAGTATTCTATACTCTCCAAGGTTCCTATCAGAGTCAGTGGAGGTAGCAGTAGAGGGGTACTTTGTCCTTCTGTCTCTTTCTTTCTCACACCAAAAAGCTTACATGACCCTTCAAATACAAATTAAAATTCCTAATCTCACCAGATGTGATTAAGAGGATCCTTGAAGTTGCTCACACATTTAATAAGCCCAATTATAATTTTTATTAACCCTGACATAGTTCCTTTGTTGCTGAATCATAAGTTTAACATTTTTAACTTAATGAAGCATCAATTTTACCCTCTTAGGTCATGTCAGATCTTAGACAGTGGTAGAAAACCACCCTTAAATGGTGCCTGTTCTGTTTAGCAACTTAGCTTTAGATTTGTTCATTAGACCTTGATACTTGGCTTTGCTTTCTGACCTTGTGGTACCTCTGCGCCCCCTGAGGAGGCAGGTGGGTTGGGAATGAATTGAGCCTCAGGAAACAGATCGCAGACCTAGAGCTATTGAAGAACTAATTAGATCATCTCTCCAGCCACTTGTTGGGGCATGATCGAAAGTTTTCCTTCTTGAGAAGGCTTTTTTTAGAAGTACATTTGCACATTGTATTCAACTTTTGTTTTATTACTCATAACCTGACCTTAAATAGGAACAAAAAGAGCAGGGTATCCCCTTTCCTGTGCCCTTGTAAGGTACAAGGGTATAATTTTTTAAGAAGCTGCACAGAAGAGGTAAATAAGCATCCATAAAACTCACAGAAGAGATTATCAAACTCCTATTTGGATCCTGTCTGAAGTCACAGCTGATGAGGGAGGGAAAACTGTAAAATACTACCGTTGGCCATTGTGGTTTTGTTTTTCTTATTAGTTAAAAATGTCATTTGTTTACTTAAGAGATACTTATTGAGCACGTCTATGTTTGAGGCCACCATTATAATGAGGGACACTGCTGAGAATAGTCCTGTGGAGTTTGTGTTTGGAGGAGAGCAATTATCTATCAACCATACAAACAAATGTAAAATGTGGCCTAGACAGGTACTCTGACGCAAAGGCAACAACACAGGGTCCCTATTTTAAGGACATTTTACCCATCAAAGAATGGAAGAGGAAGGTCCATTAACTGAGAGCTGCTATCCCATACTGCAGGTACAGAAAACCAGGTCTAAGGCTGACAGCAAAGACTGCTTGAACTGCATGACTGGTGAAGAAGGGGGTGGGCCGAGTGGACTCAGAGCAGTACAGTCTGATTTTTCTCTTTCGTTGACTTCTTGCAAAAACAAGATTCATGTAAAAACAAGATTCTATAGTCACAAAAAAAAAATGATTTGAAAAATCACTGTGTGAAGCCATCTATCTGCCCTAGCAGGATGCTTCCTCTCACATGTCATGTATCATGTCACTCACTCCTCTCCCCCCCACCCCCGCCCCACCAAATCTTCTTACCACTGACAGAAAATGCTGTGGCTTCAATCCCACGTTCATGAAATGCAACATGAAATTGTCCAATGCACAATCTTTAACTATTATGTAAAACATTCCAATTACAGAGACAACCAATGAAATTATTTTAGACCAGTGGTTTTCAAGTAATTTTTTTTTAAGCAATGGAATCCATTTTCAAATGAGTCTTAAATGAAGGCATAAAAACTCAGGGATTTTTTTTTTCCTTTGTGTCTTTTTACTTATGGACTTTTAACAATTTTCTTATAGGAATATGTATTTTCTAATCGAGAGAATGTTTTTAGAATTATACATCTGTTTAGGGAAACTGAATTGTTTATGATGACAAGGCTCAGGGCTAGTGCAGATTGAAACAGACGGTCGCCTCTGTTGTCGTACTCCCTAGTGACCTTTTCACAACAAGGGCTTACCAAAGCATGGTGACCGTGTCTTGTTCATTAGGAAATTACATGATGACAGCAGAAACCTTACTAACAAACAGATGTTTTTCCCCAAGTAGCGCTTTTCTTAATGAAATGGTTGCTTAGATACCAGACCATAATAATTGTCTATATTTAGTTTGTAAAGTGATTCCATTTGCGAAGTTATTAAGTCAGAGAATACTAATTAAATAGAAGGGAACATGTCCATTATTTCTTGTCTCTCAGTTCAGCAACCAAATGGTTAAATCAGTAGCACCATTTCATCCAGCTTGTGTCTCTCCAGATGCTCTTCCTCACAGGGGACCAACCAGGAAAATGACAGCTCCTAGAACATCTATAACTGCTGCAGCCTAGCTGTGTTTCATCTTCTACCACTCTGTGTTGGTAGCCATCCCATGTGACACTAGGTCACTGAGAGCATCAGTTAGGTCAGGGGGTGGACACCTGTATTTGAGAAAGGGAAAATAAATTCCTCTCAGAGCTCAGTAAAGGTGGTATAAAGGAAGAACCCTAGAATGAAGTCTCTTGTTTAGAATGACAGAATTTATAGGAAAAATAGATATGCTGGCCAACTACAGAGATCTTCACCCATACTGTATTTGTCGGGTGAATTAAAACATATACTCTTAAATGTAAACTATAAAATCTAGAAGAAAAAAATATTTTTGTAGCTGGGCGCCGGTGGCTCACGCCTATAATCCTAGCTACTCAAGAGGCTGAGATCTGAGGATAACGGTTCAAAGCCAGCCTGGGCAGGAAAGCCTGTGAGACTCTTATCTCCAAAAACCACTAGAAAACCAGAAGTGGCGCTGTGGCTCAAGCAGTAGAGCGCTCGCCTTGAGCTAAAGAGCGCAGGGACAACACCCAAGCCTAAAGTTCAAGCCCCACGACCGACCAAAAAAAAAAATTTTTTTTTGTTATCCATTGTCAGTAATGATTAGAGAACTCAGCTGATAAACAACTGTCATATAGGGTAATGCATTTAAAACACTTTGGAAAGTGTTAAAGAGCTCACAAGGAAATGGAAAATTACCAAGCCAACCTCTGAAGAGAAAACCAGAACTCTTAAAAATAAACACAGCATAAGAACCCACATTTAGGGGCTAGAGGTGGGTAACTAACAGCTAAGAAGAGTGTTTTCCCAGAATATACAAGGCTCTGAGTTTGATTCCCAGCACCCAAAAAGAAAGGAAGAGCCTAGTACTGGTGCCTATAATTCTAGCTACTCAGGAAGCTGAGATTTGGGGATCACTGTTTGAAGCCAGCCCTGACTCAAGTGGTAGAATGCTAGGCTAGAAGGAAAACATTCAGGGACAGGTCCTGAATGGAAGCCCCAGATCCGGCACAAGGGAAGTGAGGGAGAGGATGGAAGGGGAGGGGATGGTATGTTTATTATTGAGTTCTGGTTTTCTCTTCAGAGGTTGGCTCGGTAATTTCTCATTTTCTTATGAGCTCTTTGATGCTTTTCAATGTACTTTAAATACATTACCCTATATGACAGTTGTTTATCAGCTGATCTCTAATCATTACAGACTGGAGGAAAGGGGAGGGGGAGATGGGGAGAGAGGGATGGAGAGAGGAAGGGAACGAAAGAAAAATACCTTTAGGAAATAAGAAACAACAATGAAAAAATGATACAATAGATTTGGGGGGGGGGGGGTTCGGTCGTGGGCCTGAACTCTGGGCCTGGGTGCTGTCCCTCAGCTCTTCAGCTCAAAGCTAGCGCTCTACCACTTGAGCCACAGCGCCACTTCCGGCTTTTTTTCTTTTTGCTTATGTGGTGCTGAAGAATTGAACCCACAGCCTCAGGCATGCAAGGCAAGCGCTCTACCACTGAGCCACCTTCCCATCCCCGATACAATAGATTTTTAAAACAAATGGAACATCTAAAAATAAAATAGTAGAAAAACTAAAATAAAAAACAGTGGGTGAGTTTTGCAGTAGATTTAGCTAAAGAAAGCAATAGTAGAACAAAGCAGAAAGGAAGAAAGTATGGAGAATGAAGTATTAAGAGAATATATCTAGTTTCTGGATGGAGAAATCAGAAAGATTAATAGATCTTATATCCTAAAAGTTTAAACTCATGTTAAAAGAACCTTAATTAAAATGTAAAGTATAATTATGGAAAAGAGATTTGCAACAGAAATGGTAAGCACGTAACTGTTGAGACAAAGTAGATATGTGTTTGCCAAGTGCTAAGGGATCTGGTTAAAAAAAAAAGGAAAATGACTAATGTCATTAAAAGGAAGCTGACTAATGGGTGGGAGGGTTTTGGGGGGTTTGAGTGATGAAAATGTTCTGGAACTTAAGTAGTGCTGATGTTTGCACAAACGATGTGAATATCCTAAAAACCACTGCATTGTACACATCAAACTTTTTATGGTACATGAATTACATCTCAGTAAATTGTTCTCCCTTTCCCCTCCTCCTCACATTCTTATAGGGTAGCCCAGGCTGCCCTAAAATTCTACTTCCTCCTACTTCAATCTCCCACATGTGCCCACCAGACACAATTTGTTTCTTTTTTTTTTTTTTAAGGACAAGCAAATGGTGAATTATTTTATTGCGTAAAAAGCTCCTAGGGATTAATAAGAAAAATACCTAGCAGATAAATTGGTACAAATTCATTAATAGGCAAGATTTAAAATGGGAATTTCCATTAGCATTCTTGGTAAGAAATTTAATTGGAATGTTTATGGAAGACAGCAGTGAAAATGTTTGTATCCTTGGAGCCAGTTACTTCTCTTTGGAGAATGTATCCTAAGGCATCAATGGGAGGCAGTTGCCAGTAGCAATTCTGTCTAGGAAGCCTATGAAATCTTTCCACACTTAGTAACTATACAGATGGCTCTGTATGGGAGTTACCTTGCTGGTGAAGAGTGGTAGGACTTTTTGCAACACAGCTTATTTGTCCATCTTCAGGATGCCTACTCTTATTCTATTCCCTTTCTCACTCCCTTCTCTCTGTGCCCTCGTTATTCACAGAGCGTACAACATATCCTGAACTCCCTTGTAAAATTGGCATTGTCTGTCTAAATACATTTGTATCATCATACAGTACCTGACACACACAATCACCCATTGACACTTGAATGCATGAAAGAATTACTTCTTCTGCTTATATTACCAAGCTTTGAATTTTATCATAGCTTCAGATTGCTGCTATATAATCTGATACTACTGTTTTGGTATCTTTTTCAACTTGACCCTTTTTCTTCTACTTTTTAACTGAACTTTTTTTTTTTTGCTAGACCTGGGGCTTGAGCTCATGGCCTGGGCACTGTCCCTGAGCCTCTTTGTGCTTAAAGCTAGCACTCTACCACTTGAGCCACTTCCAGTTTTCTGGTGATTAATTGGAGATAAGAGTCCCATGGACTTTCCTGCCCAGACTGGCTTTGAACCGCAGTCCTCAGATCTCAGCCTTCTGAGTAGCTAGGATTACAGGCCTAAACTACTGGCTCCTGGCTCTGAACTAAATTTTTTTTTTCCTGCAGCTGAACTAAAATTTTATTTTATTTTATTTTATTTATTTATTTTTTGTCGGTCGTGGGGCTTGAACTCTGGGCCTGGGCGCTGTCCCTCAGCTCTTCAGCTCAAGGCGAGCGCTCTACCACTTGAGCTACAGCGCCACTTCCAGTTTTCTGCTGGTTTATTGGAGATAGGAGTCTCACGGTCTTTCCTGCCCGGGCTAGCTTTGAACCGCGATCCTCAGATCTCAGCCTCCTGAGTAGCTAGGATTACAGGCGTGAGCCACCAGCGCCCGGCTTTGAACTAAAATTTTAAAGAAACCTTTACAATTTCAACCTTTCTAAGAAACAATATTACTGCTAAAGTTTTAAAGCTTATTATTGGATCACTTTGAATTATGTATTAAAAGTGAGAAGAATATACTTTCCTCATCTAAGCAAAACAAGACTGTTAG